ATGTATCTACACTATCTATCTATGGTATCTATATACGGTACCCTATACCTACTAGGGCTGGACGATATGGCCAAAACTTTTATCATAATATATTTCTTGATTACGGTCGATAGCGATATAATTCCGATGTCGATATAAACAACATAAAAGCCTCAGAAAAACTGTACAAATGGTACAAATAAATTAATGTTCACCTTTTATTTGTATTTAGTCTTAAAAAAAAATTGAAATCACTGTCAAGTAAACATAAAACTCTCAACTTTGTCAATAATAATAGTTTTAACTTTAAACAACAACATAATCTTACCCATGCAGCAAACATGTTTCTCTTTTGATACAGATGGGGGTGATGTTTCAAGGACACGTTGGCTCAAAATTTTTATTGTGCTTCATCTTCTGACCCTCAGCATATTGTATCGAGTGGAAACTCTTCATATGGTGGAACAAGTTAGATGTTTTCCCACCGCAAATTGGAACGACTCCGACACGTTTTGTAGCACACTGAAACCTGCAGTTTATCGGATCTTAGAGAGCCGAACCACTTCCACACTGCCAAATTAGTCATTCCTCTCTTATCAATTATGTCATCTGCTTTCTCTTCACTTGTGAAAACTTGTTCACTCACATTCTGATGGTCATGGGCACTCATTTTAAAGTGAAAACTTAATGCGCGTTAGAGATTAGCCTAGCCTGCTAATGCTAACGCCTTCTGGACTCGAGTTCAGCCTCTGTGCAACATCTACGTCACCACGCACTTCCGCAGTTGTGTCATGGCTTTTTCTGTTCGGGTTGAAACTGAAGTGGCCGTTTCAACCCAAACAGAAAAAGAAATGCATCAGTGAAACGCTGTAATCATATCGAAATATCGAAAATGTGCTTAAAACTCATACCACCGTTATTGAATAAAAGTATATTGTGACATATATCGATATCGAATTATTGTTCAGCCCTACTACCTGTAGATGAACAGATGCTCAGATATATTCATCAATTAACGCGGATTCCTCATTTTTCTGAACTGAATAAAACGTGCATTGAATTTAATGAAATGCAAACGTGAGACGTCATTTATGTTTGACCCATCAAAATGAATGCGGTCATTTATTTACAGAATCAAAGTTTAACATCAAACATTTACATTAATTTGGCAAATTATGAAAATAACAACATAAGCAATCAATCAGGAAAAATCATACGGCCATGATTTTTCCGTTGCTTCACCACAGACATTTATGAAACTGTACAATTATGATCTTTTACCCACACGGATGTGGATGAGCATTTTACACAGACATTTCTAAATATCTGGAAGAATATCTACTTGATAGAAAAGTTTAAAGATGAGAAAGAAGTTTAGAGGGAGTAAAGATGGTATGGGAGGGGAAGTGTTCACCAGAATTGACACTCTCCATCAGAACCCAGCTCTCCCCGGTACGCTTGGTAGGAAACTTGACTCATTACCTTTCTGAGATTAATCAGCAGATATGGAGCTCCGTTAACGCTACCTGTCCAGCGTCTCCTTAGGATGCTGTGAATCGTCAGAAGTAGTGGCGAGTGAAAATGTTATAATCCCATGGAACTCGGAAGAGCTCTGTTGTCATGTCAGGATCATCTCGAGCAGAGCTCAACAGAACTTCTCCAGAGCTTCAACAGAACTGAGTAGTTTACAGATCTCCAGCAGAACTCAACAGAACTGAGTAGACCAGGAAGTACCGACATTTTAAAGAGCTCTTTCCCGGTTCACTTTTGGGAGTATTCCCATTGGTCAGAAACAACCAGACGGGGTGTGTTTTGTGACGTAAAAGGTTAGAATGCAGCAAGAATAGGCTCTGTGCACATGCGTCCTGAATCACTTCCCCTTTGACCGGATGTCGGCATTCCAGTTTCCGGTCTAATCCCCGGTCTCGGTGAAAATGGCGTTTTCTAGATGTTTACAAGAGCTGCCCAAGATAAATATCAGCGATGTTCATCGTATTGTTGATGCCTGGTCCCCTGCTCCGACAAGCAAACGTAACAAGGGATTTAAATTGTATATCTCAAGTTACCTGCACAACTACGAGGGTAAGTAACGTTAGTTTGATCGTTGTGATGTTGCTAACTGTTTGCAGCTAACGTTAGGCTATTAGCAACACGACCATTTTTGTGTATACTCACGTTATAGAAACAGGTTTTCCACACTTAAACAAAAGGCTCATATTTTGTGATCATTCTACTAACATTCTGCTCTTCTCAGTTTCTAGCAAAAATCAGGACACAGGTGAAGTCGTTGTCAGGGCTCTGTGTCACAGGTCCATGAAGAAAAATGAAAAACCTCACAGTTTAAGTGTAGGGTGAAGATAGGATTGTTCAGATGACAGTTTTAAGATTGTTGGTTCAGCAACCCGACGTTCCTAATGTTAATGGGGATTTAGCTAAGGTGGTAATTAATTCTTAAATAAAAATAAAATGGAATTGGCTATTTGATGAATATTAACACGTGAGTTTGGCCTTGCTTGTCCCCATTTGGTTATTTGCTGCATGCATTGTTCTTCTTTTATGGTTGTTATGTGTTACTTTTAACCCAGTGTTAATTTGGTAATTCATGCATATTAGTTTTACTTAAATCTAAAGAATACACTCACAGTCTCTGTAACATTATTTTATGTTTCATATCTGAACGAAATGCAGGTGGGTATTCTATTTTTGACTCATGTTCTTTTCTTATTTATATACACAGGAGCACACTCTACAAAGGCCTTAGTGGGGATTTGCCGGACCTTTCTGTCCTTAGAGTAAGTAGTTGTATTTAAATTACTGATAAATAAAAATGAAATTAACAGTAGGCTACAATGTACTAACAAAGAGTTGTAGACTTACCGGTGTATTGAATAATTTTATTTTCAAGTGCTGTCTCTTTGTAAAGTGTAGAATTTTTGAGGGCTTAAAATTAGTTGATATACATGTATTTTACATTTTATTGAAATAATTGTTTTCACTTTCCCAGGTTTCCGAGGTGTATGAAGATTTTGCAGCAGCTGATGCACCAATGATCTGCAGCATGGGAATCAGCCATGAATTTCCCCTTGTTGACTCTGCCCTTGGCAAAGTTCAGGCTGGAAGTCCTCTGTCCTACCAACAGCCAGCAACAGCAAAGAGAGACATGTCCTTCCATGCTGCACCACCCCGCCCATCTCTGCCTCTTAAGAACTACCACCTACAGCCATCAAAAAGCATGTTTGTTTGTTCTGAACCACAACAGCTACACCTTAAAAGTATGGAGGTCACCTGGGACATGGTGAATAAATTTGAATGTGCTACCAGAGCACAGAGTACATGTCCTGAATGGCATCAGCTAAGGAGGCATAGGTTGACTGCCTCCCGCTTCAGGGAGATCTGCCAGGTTCGAGATAAATCTGAGGAAGATCTGGCAAATCGTCTGCTGCAAGGGACCTATCAGACTGCAGCTATGAAGAGAGGGCTTGAATTAGAGGCTGATGCTATCTGGGAATATTGTCAAATTAAAAGAGTCAACCACTATCCCTGTGGATTTGTGATTCACCCTGATGCTCCTTGGCTAGGGGCATCTCCAGACGGATTGATCTTTGATCCTTCTGAGCCATGTCAGTTCGGGCTGATTGAGATTAAGTGTCCAAATGTGAAAAGTTATGTTGACTGTCCATATCTCCAAATGAAGTCAGGCAAATTGGAACTAAAAAAAACTCATGTTTACTATTGGCAGGTTCAGGGGCAGATGCTAATAACTGGGATGAACTGGTGTGATTTTGTTGTCTCAGCTGAGGAAGATATTCTTATTCAAAGAATTTATGCAGACACTAATGTGATGGATTCAATCAAACACAAAGTAGACAGATATTTTTTCTATGTTTACCTGCAGAAATGTCTAAATTAGGAGTTTGATCAAATCAAATGTACAAATTTGTTTCAAAATATTTCCATCATGAATATCTATTTACAAATGTAAGACAATGTCAATGTAAGTAAATGACAGCATTTTCTGTTTCTTCAAGACTGTGCCATCAGCTTTTCTGTCAAACTTCATATCTCCATTTCCTGACCAAAGGTCCATTTTGGTAATTTGACAGGAGACAGGCAACTGTAAAAATTTGGTTTATGCTTCCTGCAATGGAGAGAGGGATAGTGGAATCAAAGAGTTTATTTTCTTTAACTCTTCTTATTAACCTCTCAACATGCACCCTCAAACGGGCAATGGACTGGGTCTTCAAAACGTCGACCTCTGACATTTGGGCCCTCTTGGAGAGGAAGGCAGGACGATGAACAGTCCCAGGTACGAGATCATCCACCAAGAATCCCTTGTCCACCATGATGGCCATGTCCAGTGTCAAGAGTGATGTAATCCCTGATTGACGGAACACTTCCTTGTCACTCATGGAACCCTCAAACAGTGCTGACACAAATGTCAGGGCTCCGTGAGGAGACATGCCCACCATGGCCTTAAAGGTACAGTGGGATTTGTAGGTGGAGAAGACTTCACTCTGGAGGAGCAGGGATGAAGGTGTTTGACACCGTAGTTCTGTACAGTCCAGGATAACTTGTGTGTCACTGTAGCGGCCATCAAAATCCTGTGGAAGACTGGAACTCACAGCTGCAGGAGACATCCACACACAAATTGAGCCCAATAAGCAGTACAGGAAGTTGGCCCATGTCACAATAATGCGGCTGACTGTTGCTCTGTGGATGTTAAATCGATGGCCCAGTTCCCTCTGGGTACATCCAGTAGACAGGTAGGAGAGGAAAAGAAAAAGCTCATCTATTGGCAGCAGTTTCTGGACAGAAAATTA